CAACTGACTGGTCTAAGGGGCTATGCAACTGACTGGGATCGGCATTGGCGGAGTTAGGATAGAGTACACAAAAGAAAACCAAATCAATTAGGCTTTCGAACGGAGCACTCCTGTTCAGATCAGGTTTTCACTTACATAATCAACGATTATAGTTAGCCGGATAAGTGATTCCATTAGAGCTCAGAGCTACATTTGCTTCAGCATATTGCACAGCAGTGTGAAGATTTTGGACAAAATCTGTGAAGGTGCCATGTAGACCAGTCAACTTCCGTTAAATTTCCTTTACTGAAAAAAAATCCAAGCTAGATAGCCGAATATTATTTAGAAATTTTATTAAAGTCCATTAATACTGACAAAAATATTAGATATGGGGTTTCATTATATAAAATGCTGTTTCAAATTTTACATTTACCATGCAAAGTAGGCTTATCGTTCTTCGTCGTTCTTGGTAACCGCCTTCTCTGAGGTGTTCATAAATTTTAGCTTCTTTGGAGAAGGTTCAATTACAGCTACGTTTAGTTCGAGTTTGTTTATCAGCGTGTGAGCTGAAAGGAAATGGTACTTAAAGAACCGTTACGAGGAACACCATCCCTACCGTAGTCTTGGTATTCAAGTTCAGGATCGTCGGGCATGGTATAATGCAACACATCGATAGGATCCAGTAACGATAAACCTTAAACAAGATTTTAGACTGTGTCAAAGTGGCACTGTTCGGTTTACCTTGCATAGTCGCTTCAATGAAAGAAACGGCCATAACAGAATCTTGGACAGTGACCGTGTCTCTGTACATCAGACGTGCATGCGCTTGGGAAAGCCGAATTAAGCTGTCGAGCATCCGAACTGTAGTTAAGGCTTCATTTCTTAGGACAGACGACCGCTGCTTTCGGTAGTACGCAGAGAGCACCCTAAAACTGAAATGTTGCAGCGCTGACGCATGATCAGAGTGTTGAGCTCTTCCAGTCAAAACCGTGAGAACAAATTCAGCGTTAGAATTATGCTGACACCTAAAACAACAGTCGAGCAGGCTATCGGGTAAGGAACCTTATGCCCTGACACCATGTACGACACTTAGGATGTCAAATCTAATTACGCTTAAAACATTTAAGTGGCAGAAACGATGAAATGACATCGCCTTTCGTCAAGCGGCTGCTTTTCCTGCGAAACTGTAACAAAAGAAAAACGCAGTCATGAGGTCACTGCTGGTGTCCCCGTCAATTCCTGTCAGTAGTGTACAGTGTTACCAAAGTCTGAAACGTATTCAGCAGTGATAAACGATCCTTCAACATTGAGTATTTTGTGCCTACACTTGTGGTAATACTGAAAAACAGCAAAACAGATTATTTATACAAAACTCAAAAATATGGTCAGTAGGATGATGGATCAATAACGACATTTCAGCCCGTGAGATACGGCTCTAACGATCAACAAAAGAACTCAACATCCGTCAACCAATATATTTACCTTGAAGAAGGCCGGTGAAACATGGGGCGAAACGTTGATACCGATCAACCATCCGACTGACCATAATTTTGCGTTGTATAAACCGTGTTTTGTGCTATTTTTCATTTCTTCAACATGTTTATTGTCTTGATCAGGGAGAAAGCTCATGAACTGCAAACTGTTAGAAAAAGACTGAATTAAACGATGCTTACTTTATTGCTGATTTTAAATGTCTCGTCATTGGACGAGCTGGAGACCTGTCATATTCTCTTAGGGTCAAATAAACGAACTTCCCATGTTTTCAGGCTGTTTTTTAGGTTTCATTGTAAGCTTTAGCGTTTCTTTTCTGTTGCGTATGAAATGAGAGCTTTGCACTCTCGTGCAAATTAGAAGTTCCTTGACATCGTCACCACAGAACGCCGTTTCCACGTAGGCAACAATGGAGCTCTCAGTCAATCGTCTCTAAAGTGAGAATAGTGCCTTTCTACGTTAGACTACTGCGTCAGGTAAGTGCCTAATTTCGATTGTACATTTGACGTCTGTATTGTCCCTTTAGAGAAATTCACATCCCCCCATTCTCTTACATGGGCTTTTAGCTAAAGAATTTACCGTGGCTGCTTGAGGTTTCCCGCCGAAAGAATCGATTTACCGTACCGAGGATCGTAGTACTGGTACTGAATGACGTGTGTCTGTAACAGATCTTATCTGTGCTCTGACTTGTAGTAGACATAATTAGTACATGTATTACTAATATACATATAATTAGTACTGCCTGTAGATATTTATATCTAACGTTTGATATGTTTTCTGCCGCGTACTACTAGAAGACGTCTACACCATTAGTGA